CAGGGACACGCACGAGGCCGCCGGGCGGCAGCAGCCGGGCTGGCAGCAGGGGGCACAGCAGGAGGAGGTGGGCACGCAGCAGGCGGGCCTGCACAGCAGGGACACGCTGGAGGACGGCGGGCAGGGCGGGCAGGGGCGGCAGCAGGGCTGGCAGCTGGACGGCTGGCAGCAACAGGAGGAAGCCCCGCAGCACACGGGCTCATGGCACACAGGCTCACAGCACACGGGCTCACAGCACACAGGCTCATGGCACACAGGCTCACGGCACACGGGCTCACAGCACACAGGCTCACGGCACATGGGCACGCAGCAGGACGGCTGGCAGCAGCAGGAGGAAGCCCCGCAGCACACAGGCTCACAGCACATGGGCTCATAGCACACGGGCTCATAGCAGGACAGCTGGCAGGGCGGGCAGGGGCGGCAGCAGGGCTGGCAGCTGGATGGCTGGTAGCAGCAGGAGGAAGCCCCACAGCACACGGACTCACGGCACATGGACTCACGGCACATGGGCTCACGGCACATGGGCTCATGGCACATGGGCTCACAGCACACGGGCTCACAGCACACGGGCACGCAGCAGGACGGCTGGCAGCAGCAGGAGGAAGCCCCACAGCACACGGGCTCACGGCACACCGGCTCACGGCACACCGGCTCACGGCACACCGGCTCACGGCACACCGGCTCACGGCAGGACAGCTGGCAGGCTGAGCAGGGGCAGCAGCAGGGCTGGCAGCTAGACGGCTGGCAGCAGCAGGAGGAAGCCCTGTAGCACACAGGCTCACAGCACACAGGTGTGCAGCACCCAGGCTCATGGCACACGGGCTCACGGCACATGGGCTCACAGCAGGACGGCTGGCAGGCTGAGCAGGGGCAGCAGCAGGGCTGGCAGCTAGAAGGCCGGCAGCAGGAGGGTGTGCAGCAGCTGGCGCAGACGGACTGGCAGCAGGGGCTGGACGCACAGCCCGCTGGGGAGCAGAGGAAGGTGAGGCAGGGGGCGGGGGCGCAGCCGCGGGGCTGGCAGCAGCTGGGGGCGCCGCAGGGCTCGCAGCAGCTCTCTGGGCAGTCGTCCACCTGCCAGGAGGCGTGGGTGCAGGCGTCGGAGCAGATGGACATGGTGGAGGCGGCCATGGCGGCGGGGCTGGGAGGAGCGGGAGGTGTGGGTGAGTGTGTGTGTGTGAGTGTGAGTGAGTGTGTGAGGCACTGTCAGCTTTTATACTCTCCCTGGCTGTGAGGTTCCGTCCAAGGCCCACAACTCCCTTCCTGTTGGTGTGTGCTCTTCCTGGAGCGTAGTCAACAGCTGCGTTTGGTTTCCTGCATTGTTGCTCAGCTGACCCAGGGCGCGGGATTCCATCTTTAATCTCAGAGAAGGGGAGGTAGAGGGAGTTCACGGCGGCTTTTCTATGGGATGTGCTTTGGAGCCAGGGTGGGCTGCTCTATCCTGGGTGCTGGGCATGATGTGGGAGCTGCTGTCGGGGTTCTGGTCTAGTCTGGGGTGTGGGAGCTGCTGTCGGGGTTCTGGTCTGTGGTGTGGGAGGTGCTGTCGGGGTTCTGGTCTGGTTTGTGGTGTGGGAGGTGCTGTCGGGGTTCTGGTCTGGTCTGTGGTGTGGGAGGTGCTGTCGGGGTTCTGGTCTGGTTTGTGGTGTGGGAGGTGCTGTCGGGGTTCTGGTCTGGGGTGTGGTGTGGGAGGTGCTGTCGGGGTTCAGATGCTGACCCCTCTGTGACCTGCAGTGTGTGTGCATGCGGCCTCTTGGCCTGTGCGTCCTCTCCTGCTGAGCTCAGAGAGCTGCTTCAGGAGAGGGCAGCTGGCGGCCGGCCGCTCGGCTGCCGGGGAGTGACCGCCAGGCCTGGCCGTGTCTGCTGAGCGTGGCGCACGGAGCCCGCTGGGGAGGAGGTCCTGAGATTTCAGCGCCTTGCGGGACCCTCTTGGCATCTGGGGCCTGGGCTCCCCCCGGGCTCCTCAGGCCGGCCCCAGGGTCCGTGGAGACCCGGCGCCCTTGCATGGTGGCCGCTCCTAGGAAGCAGACATGGATAGCTTTGGGACTGGGGCTCCGAGGGCCGCCCGCGGGCAGCTCAGCCGTGTCCAGCAGGGCGGCCAGGCTGCGTGAGTACCGAGCCCAGCACCTGGGCCACGGCTGAGGAGAGCCCTGGGCCGAACCCCCAGTCCCCAGAAAGGCAGCTAGGGGGGGGCGGGTGACTCTGCTGTCCCCTTGCCCTGTACCCTTCTGGCAGCCAAGTCAGAAAGGTCCAGCATAAGCCCTGGCCCCGCTCCTGGCCCTCCCCGGGCCCCGCACACGGGCGCTCCAGCCCCTCCCAGTGCTGGCCCCGCTCCTGGCCCTCCCCGGGCCCCCGCACACAGGCACCCCAGCCCCCCCCCCCACGGTGGGCCCCGCACACCGCACCTTCATTACTTTTTTTTATGTGTACATTTTTTTATTGCGAAAATATTGTAGGGAGGGGTTAACATTACATGGGCAAGAGAATGAGTACATTTCTTATCAAGCATTTTTGCCTCCCCCTTTTTTCCCCCTTCCCATCCCTTTCCATACCCCCAAACCACAGATCCGATAAGCCCCCCCACACCAAAGTTATTAAGTTCGTTTTTATTTTTTTTAATTTATTTTCTATTGTGAAAATACTGTACAGAGGGGTTACAATTACATGGCAAATAAAGAGTACATTTCTTTTTTTTTATTGTAAAGATGCTATACAGAGGGTTACAGTTAGATGAGTGAGGTAATGAGTATACTTCCTATTGAGCATTGTTACCCCCTCCATTGTTTTCCCCCTACCATCCCCTCCCTCCCTACCTTCCCCAAGGTTTTTTTTTTATTGTGATTAAGTGATTACATAATTTCCAGAAATTCAAAGTATTATGGAATAATGATGCTCATTTAAAGTCACAAGTTCATTCTAACTTTCCTGGAGCAAATTGTCTATCACAGTCTGTAATATATAA